AAGGCCGGGCTGAGGGACCCCCCTTCGCCCTGAGTGCACAAATTTTTGTACACCAGGCCTCTAGTATTCAATAAAATCCCTGTGAAAATTACTGCAAATATAGGGGCGGGGGTTTGTTTTTGTTTTGTTGTGTGCTTTTTTCTTAATTGATATGCTGATTCTAAAATATATATACAAAGGAAAAGGACCTAGAATAGACAAAATACTTTGAAAAAAATAAACAAAGTTGGAAGTCTTACACAAGCCAGTTACAAAACTTACTCTAAAGCTATAGTAACCAAGATAGAATGTTATTGAGGTAATGAATGTCAATAGTAGCATTATTCATAATAGTCACACTGGAAATAATCCATTGACTGATTAAATGGACTATTCTATTGGATTTTCCATTTGGAGAGGATTTGAAATATTCTAAAACATGGGATATCCATATAATGGAATAATATTCAGCAATTTAGTAAAGCAAAATACTAATGCATGTTATAACACAATGAACTTCAAAAACATTAGGCTCAGTGATAGAACCCTTTCCAAAAGCATTATATATCATGTAGTTCCATGATAAAATATCCAGAATGAATGTTTTTATAGGGGAGAAGAGCAGACAAGTGGTTGCCTAAAGCTGAAGGTGGGACTGGGGATTGACTGCTAAAAAGTCGCAAGTGAGTTTCTTGTGTTAATGAAAATGTTCTAAAACTAGGTTATAGTGATAGTTGCACAACTTTATAAATTTACTAAAAAGTATTGAGTTGCATATTTAAAATTAGTTAATTTAGTTTTAAATTTCTTTATAAAGCTTTGTTTAAAAACTAAAGAGAAGAAAATGTTGACTTAGTCCAATCAAATTTCCTTTTTGTGTCATGTGAACTAGAAAACCCAAAGAAATGAACAAACAAAAATATGATTATCTGTGGGAACTAAAGCAGCAAGATTTTAGTAGATTGAGTGGAGACAGCCATGGTGATTTCTAGGCATCCCTATGACATAATAAAAAATATTATGAATAAGTAGGGTTGATAGAGCAGAATGGAGAGAGTACTTGGGGAGATGGAGAAACCTCATGAGCAAGATTAAGTTGTTCATGACAGACAGAGAAGGTAGCAGGACCTAGCACTCCCCTGATTTCTGACGGATTTCCAGTTCTAGTCTACAAATATCTTCATAACGTGCATTTCTCATACCCTGTCCTCCATGATATGAAGGAATCTGTACTTTTATTGAAAATATCCTGACTAGAAAAGCTAGTAATCTGCCATAACAGCATTACCAGATGCCATTCATTTTAAATAATGTATATATATTTGTACATGTCCATAGTCTTTAACAAGAAGCAGTTTCTAAGTCTTTTCTTGGGAGATGTCTTAGGTCAGTGGTCGGCAAACTCATTAGTCAACAGAGCCAAATATCAACAGTAAAATGATTGACATTTCTTTTGAGATCCAAATTTTTTTAAACTTAAACTATATAGTTAGGTACATTCAACTTTAAATTCACAGTTTCGTCTTCCATTTTTCTTTGCTTCTTCTTTGTAGCCATCTCAAACGGGGCACCTAAAAAAATGTTTCATCCTATCTAGTCATAGACAAACATGGCAAATGACTGTACCTTCACTATGCCTCCCATTGGCTAATCAGTGAGATATGCAAATTAACCCAACCAAGATAGTGGCCGGCAACCACACAGCTGAAGCAAGCAGGAGGCTTGCTTGCTCCAGTGATGGAGGAAGCCAAGGTTCCCCGCCTGCTGCGGCCCAGCTCTGAGCTCCGAAAGCAACAAAGTTTCAATTATAGAAGCTAAACAAACTCCAGATACCTGCTTTCAGCAGGCCGTGGCCTCAGAGCTGGAGCGAACAGGAGCCTTGCTCTCAGCTCCAGTAATGGCAACAAAGTTTCAATTATAGAAGGTAAATAAATCCTAGAATAAAAAAAAAAGAAAGAAAGAAAGGAGAGGCTGAGAGCTTCAGTCGCCGGGATTTCTTGTAAGAATGCTTTGTGGGGGGGTAGCTTCATATTAAACCAGTACACTGTAGACCAGTGATGGAGAACCTATGACACGCGTGTCAGAGGTGAAACGCAAACTCATTTTTTTTGGTTGATTTTTCTTTGTTAAATGGCATTTAAATATATAAAATAACTGCTCCCCGCTGGCAAGTGTACATCCCCCGAGGGCAGCTGGGCTGCCAGAGGGATGTCTGATTGCCAGTATAGACCCAATCCCCTGGGGAACAGACCTAAGCCAGCAGGAGGTCATCCCCCGAGGGGTCCCAGACTGCGATAGGGCACAGGCCGGGCTGAGGGACCGTCTCCCCACCCCCTCCCCCGAGTGCACAAATTTTTCTGCACCAGGCCTCTAGTTTTATAATAATAAAGCCACCAACACAAAATAATTACAATTCTTAAATTGATGACAAAAA